TGGATGGATGGATGGATGGATGGATGGATGGATGGATGGATGGATGGATGGATGGATGGCTCTCTCCCTCTCTCCAGGAGGCTTTTTGGGTCACAGGGCAGCTCCAAGCCTAATGCATCCTGGAGTTCTGGCATTTTCCACTCTTCACTGCAAGATGAACGACTCCCATACTTCTGCAGGTCTCTGAAAGTCCTTCAGTGTGCTGGAAAAGCCCCCGAAGGAGGGAAGCTGGGCTGAGACTTCTGCAGGATCACCGTGGGGGGCAGCTAGGGTGAAGTTCTGTAAGTTGGGAGGGGTGTGCTGCCTGGGCACCCACTCATCATTACTTCGCAAAGGGCTGCAGGGACACCTGGTGGCACCTTCCAAAGTAGCATTTTATGAGTACACGAGATGCTGAAAAGCACACTGAAGGGGTGCACAGTTGGACTTGTGAGGATGCTGGGGCTGAGTCCTGTAGGATCATCTCAGTGGGCAGCCCCCAGCTGGGGCAGAAGAGTGAGTTCTGACAGCTCCCTTTTGCCATGTGGGATATGGGACACCCACATTCCACACAGTAGGGCCAAGGGGAGGCTCTGGGGCAGCACTCAATGTCCCCAGCTGTGCTGGGTGGGGGTCAGGGCTGGATCTTTCCAGCCAAGAGTGGCTGCATGGGGGCCTGATCCCACTCGGTGCTATGGGTATAGTGCAGGGCTCAGCAAGCAGCAGCTGGAGGGATGGACGTGCACATGTACTCAGGTCCTGAACGTTGTTCCCATCCCTGTGCCACTAGTGAAGTTTTATGTTCCCCATTGGAACCCAGTGCTCACTGGCACAATGGAGCTGAGCCAGGGAATATCTAAGGCATTCTGTGACATCAGGCAGAATGGTGGCACCAGGCAGTGAGCTTAGTGACAGGTGCACACTGCCTGGGTATGCCTGAGGCTATCAGGGTAATCAATTGACCACTGGGTAAGCCGGTGGTGGGGTGGCTGGAAAGGGGTGACCTGGATGCCAGCAGAGCCCTGAAGTGCCTCTGTTCACACCAGGGTCAGCCAAGGAGGGGATGGAGCCCCACAAGCCACTGAAGTCTGACAGCCTTGTAGCCACCGAGCAGCAGCAGCCACCACAGCATGGCTTGGAGGAAGCTGCCAGCTCCAGAGATGTGGTGGCCCTCAAGAAGTCCTCCACACCAAGCAGGACTTCTGTGTCCAGTAGAGCCTCCAAATCCAGCAGGACCTCTGTGTCCAGCAGGATTTCTGTATCCAGCAGAACTTCCACATCCAGCAGGACCTCCATAGCTAGCAGGACCTCCAAGTAAGTGAGGGGATGGATGGAGCCTGTGCCTGTCCATGTTATAGGGCTCCTTCACGCTCCCTGATGGGCTAGGAAGGGTGACAGAATGGTGCCCATCTGGCAGGAGATCTACCCAGCAGTGCATGATCCTGATGGCTGAGACATACCCACCCAGGCAGGAGGTGCGCAGGACAGGCATGCCAAAAGTAGACAAAGCAATTCAGGTGAGGCTGGGCAAACCACAAACCCGTCCCCCACAAGTGTCCCACAATCCCAGGGGTGCATCTGGGCCAAGGGCTTGGCCTTGGGATGGCTCTGGCAGCTGCTGTTCCTTCCTCTGGGATTTGATGCTATGGCTGTTTCCCACTTCAGACCCCCCGGTCCTTTGATGCATCACTCAACAAACAGCGCACTCGGCTCAAGAAGAAAATTAAAAGCAAAGACATGAGCAGCAACCAAGATCAACTGCAAGCCTCAAGGGACAGCAATGCCATGGAGATCTTTCCCCAGGCAGAGGGGCACAGGACCCCCAGCCCCCCCGAGGTCACACCCCAGCACAGGTAATACAGCCTAGCTCTGCCCCTTCGGTGACCCAGGATCCCAAGGCTCAGGGACAGGAGCTCAACATGGGCATCTCCATCTGTAGGAGGAGCAAGGTCTCATCCAACACATGCACGAACGCTGATGAGGAAGAATGGGAGGACCAGGCTGTGCTGGAGGTGGAAGGTAACCCCTGGTTCTCCTCACTCAGTTCAGCCAGATGCCAGGGAAGTGGTGGAGCCACTGTCCTGGAGGCATCCAAGGAACGTGTGGATGTGGCACTTAGGGACATGGTTAGTGGGCATGGTGGTGATGGGTTGACTGTAGGACTTGATCTTAGAGGTCTTTTCCAACCTTAATGATTCTGTGATTTTATAACTGTTGGTTTCAGTGTGCCCCTCTGAAATGAACCCAGCATTGTTTAGAAACAAGATTCAGGGGCTGTTTCAAATGGAAGAACTTAATGCTGGTGTTCATCCACCCTCCTTCACCCACTGCAGGGTATGAGGCTGATGTTCACAGCCCAGGCACTGTCATGGGAGACAGCCAGGGGATCTGCCCTGCAGAGGAGGAGATGCAGAAGGGGCTGAAACACACTCAGGCTCACGGTGAGCATGGAGGCACTGCCCTAACCCAGACACACACGTGCATCAGCCTTGCCTTCCTTCTCTGATGTGTTTTAGGACACATGGAACACACGGTATCTCCCAGAGGTGAAGCTCTGAGCCCCTCAGCCTCCATGCTGGCTGCAGGGCTCAGGCAGCTGTTCCACATCATCTCCATCTTGATCACAGTTTCAAAATCTTCAGCTTTAAATTTACAGTAGAAATTAAATACATATTTACAATGCTAATATTTGTCATTTGCCTCCAGGAGGTGTACCCAGGTCTGTACCCAGGCGATCCTGGCAGCTCTTAGCACAGGGCCTGGTGTTGTCCTATGGGAGTAACAAAAATGTGACCATGTTACTCTGTGGCCACATCCACCAGCACCCACTTCTCCTTTGGCCCCAAGTTCCAGTAGCCACGAGATGCTCCTCAGCTGCTGCTCCAGGCTGCAGCCCTCTGTTGTATCACCTGCTTTCATGAATCCTCCAACCCCAAACTTCTCTTTCCTTTCCAGAAGGCAGAGAGGTGAAACCAAGCCTGCTTCTGGAGGCTGACGGAAGCTTTCACAAGGAAGGTACACAGCAGAGAGCAGCCACCACCCACCCTGCGTGCCACAGCCAGGATCCCACACAGGGATGCACTGGGCCGAGCCCCTGTAATGCAGAAAATCTCAATTTCTCATTGAGCTGTGGCATGAGACAAGACCACGTTTAGCTAATCTCCCTGCTCTTTAATGCCAAAGAGCACGGCTGCTGGCAGGATAGGGCCTAGCACCATGAGGACCAGCTGCTGTGACCCCAAAAACAGGGCCATGTGGCTGTGCTGGGTGCTCCTGGAGGAGGAGTGGGACTGGAGGTTGCTCACGGTTCCCCAGGAGAAGCCATTTCCGATGTGATAACAACTCCAACCCCGCTGAACCTGCACATTTGGGCTGTGTGGAGGCTGTTGGTGTTGGAGACCACTAGATGGGGATCTCTGTACACACTCAGGCAGACGCTTCCCACTTCTTAACGCTCATCATTGCAGCAAGCAGAAGTGTGTTGTCTTTTAATAAACCTAAAAATGAGCAAAGCTCCTTCTGATGCGGCTAATCGAAGGTGTATCCTGTCCCATTCACAACCCAGAAGTGTGTTTTCCAGGTCTAGGAAGTTTCTGAAATGAAAAACATTTCCCTGTTGGTTGCAGGAAAGCAGGTCGATGTAGGAGAGCTGAAGCCTCACCCAGCCCCTATGGAAATGCGTTTACTGGACGTTGATCACCAGCAGGCGCTGGGGGGTGTGAGTATGGATGGTGAGTGTGTCGGCACTTCGGGGTGTTCAGGATTTGGATTGTTTTCCAGGCAGAAAGCTTCAGAATTGGAGATAAAGAGGAGAAAGGAATTGACTTTTATAGTCAGCATACTGACATTTCCCAAGGCACAAAATAATGGAACAGTGCAGCTTGGAAGGCACCTTGGGAAGTCTCTAGTGCCATCTCCTGCTCCAAGCTGGGTCAGCTGTGAGATCAGACCAGGTTGCTCTGGGATTTATCCTTTACAGTATCTCCAGGACTGCAATGAGTCAGGGTTAGCTTGAAATGAGAATGCTGTGCTCTGGGGAAGCCTGGATCTCCAACCTAGATGACTATCTGGCCAAAAATTTGGAAATCTGTTTTGGGGCAAGACGCTCTAAAATCACCAAACCCTTTGTGGATGTGAGTGTTCTCAGTGTCGTCAACTTCCTTTTTTGTAGAAAAACTTAAAGCTACAGCCAAGAGCCTCCCTGAAAGCTCTTGTCTGTCTGTCAGCCCCTCCTTCCTCAGGAGTATTTCCCCTTCAGCTGTGCTCCATCTCCCCCTATGCCCCAGGGGATGCAGCCAGCAGTCAGGACCCCAACTCCGGTGTGGGCACTGGTGAGGTCATCTCAGACAGAGAGGAGATGCAGCAGATCATCAGACACACTGCAGGTGGGAACTGGTATCCTTCCTTGTTTTCTGCTTCTGCACAGCCCCTGCAGCCAGAAAACCAGACACCCAGGGAGGCTGCTGGGTACCTGCAGATGGCCATGGTATAGGATATGCCTTGCACGCAGCAGAGGTGAAATTCTCCACGCTTCCCTTTAATCTTGTGTTAAATTTTTGCTTTGCATGATTTGGCACGAGTGGCTCTGTGTGTCCTGGCACGACACAGACACCATTCCTCAGTGTATCAAAGGAAATGGGGTTTTGTGTCTAGAGAGAGTTACGTACAGCGTAGTGAATGGAGGGAATCATTGGGTGATGAATGGCCATGGAGAGGGAATTTAATCTTTCTTGGCCTCAGCATCTCACCCTGCCTGGAGGGGAGGGAGTTTCATTGCATTATTGTGGCTAAGGTCCTTTAGATCCTCAGATGGAAAGGGTAGGTGAAAGGCAAAGGAGTCTCTATTATTATTATTAATAATAATAATAATAACCTTTATTTTTTTGCCAAGTCTCTCTCCGCTGCCTGCCAGCATGGAGAGGAGGTTTCTAACACTTTCTTGTTACAGAGGACACAGATTTCAGGGATAGTCAGGGCTCTGACCCTGCAGAGGAGCTGGATCCTGCTGTGAATGGTGAGGGTCTCTGCCTTTCCTTCACTGCCACTGTCATTGCTCAGACATCCCCATAGAGCCAGTCACTGCTCCATTTAAACATTGCCCAGCATCTCTTGTAGGAGGTGAGGAAAACATTCAAGACCTCGATTTCATCCTGGACCCCACAGACAGCAAGGTTCACCTGAGGAGCCTGATGCATGAAGCCTTGAGACACATGGAAGGTAAGAGCAAGCTTTTGATGTCCTTTTCCTTTGCAGGAAGCCTAAAAATCTCTAGAAACCAACAGCTGAGTTTAAAGCACTCTGCATACATTCACTGGTGCTTATCAAGCAATGAGGATGTGATGTTAATGCAAGACATACAAGACGATTGTATTACAATAATGCAGAGTTCCTACTCTTGTGAAATACACATGGAGAAAAGTCTGTTAGAGAGGGATGTGACTGCTCCTCTACCACTACCATCCTGCTCCCCTCTTCCCAGTGCTTAACCCTCACCAAGAACTCTATCATGCCTTCATTTAGAAGCAACAAATCTCCAACCAACATTATAGGAAAGCCCCTGGCTCATGCAGCAGCTGCCAGTGGTCCAGCACCTGTGCTCTGATGCCCATAATTTCCACCAATTTATTCTTGTTGCTGTTACAGCCGTCTGTTACTTCCACTCTCCTCTCCCCAGGTGCTGTGAACATGAATCTGAGTAAATCCATGAAGGCAGGGAGGAAGGTTCAGCAAACACCCATGGGAGAAGGTGAGCAAGATCCCCATAACAAAATCTGCTGCCACATAACAACAAACAGGATCAGACAAGAGTCCTTCAAAAGAAAACTCTGTGGCCACATGTTTTAATGAGCTGCAAATCTGCTGGTAACGAAGCTGTACAGGGAGAGGCAGACAGACCAGCAGCTGCAGTGCATTTCCAGCGGCATGCTGCTGCCCACAGCAAAGTCAGTGTTGTAACTTCTGAGCCACAAAGGTGGGAAAGCACAGATGTAGAGTGGGCTGCAAAGATTTACCTGACACTCTGGCCTCTGTTCCCCTTCTTGCTGCAACTCTCCTGTGCTGCACAGGCCTGGTTTATCTGTGAGCCACCTCATACGCTCTGCTTCCCCCTCCTAGCAGTGATGGCAGGGCTTTTCTCCTCCCTGTGAGCAGGCAAGATTAATTTCACTAATGTGCTGAAAAGATTTTAAATTCTCTGGAGGACAGAGCTGGAGAAAGGCAAATGATATTAATATTAATATTAATAACATGGTTCTTATTTAACTCATCTCCCTCCATGCCCTGGGTGTGCACGGAAGGCAGCGGCACCTTCCTAATATGATTAAGATGGTGTTAAAAATATCCATGCTTAAAAGGAAAACAGTGCTCAAGGAGGCTTTTTTTGGTTTGTTTTCATAGAGGACAATGATGATGTCAGTCGTGAGGGTTCCATCCTGGCTGCCCTGAGTGTCCACTCAACCCAGGAGGAGCTGAAAGAGGCACAAGTGGATGGTCAGTGAATCAGAAATACTGGTGACAGTTCCCCTCTGTGACTTGTCAGCTCTGGCTACCATGAAGCATGATGTACAAGAGGCAGAGAGAGGAAAAAAAGATAAAATAGCTTCTACAGGTGTGGGGAGACACCAAGTTGTCCCACACAGTGACTGCTCTGAAGGGAAAGGCAAGGGGATGTAGGGGGTATAAGTTGTGCTCTGTACCCACTGTGGTGGGATAGGAAATCAAAGACTTAAGTGTCAAGAAGAAAGAATTCAGGTTAGGGAAGGTGTTGCAGCAGGGAACAGGGGATGCTGAGAGACATAGGATTTCCCTTGCTGGGTGTTCTGCTGCCCATGGCCAGAAGGACACAGTGAATTAGTGCTGCTGTAGCACAAAACAGGGAGAAATGTCATCACAGGGTCCTTCCAGCTCTCCTTGGGATGTTGAAGATGTGAATGCTGGTGAGAGGGAAGCCCATGAAACTCTGTTTATTTGTGTCTTTCCACATCCAGAGAAAGCTGCTCTTGCTCCTGGCCATGCACCCCAAACCTGTGTAGCAACAGAGCTTCCACCAAAGAAGAAGGTGTTAAATCCCCTTGAAACAGATACAGCCAGGTGAGCATGAAGGTGGAAACAGGGAATATGCTGTTGCTTGTTGTACAATTGTGCTTCAGCTGCCACTCTGTCCATCTCTCTTTGTCATTCTGTGCATGGCAGTGAACTCACAGAGATCCCTCAGACAAGAGTTGAGAGTGAAGCAGTGAAGAACATGACAAAGAAACAGCAGAAAGGTGATGTTACCTCATTATGTGCTCCCCCCAGGAGACACGTTGCCAGCACCAACAGGAGTGGTTGGACCTTTAGATGGGTCCTGCAGCACTGCATGATCTTCCTTACACAATAACCACACTGTGGGGTGCACAAAGGAAGGGACAATCCTGTGTCCCTCGGATGTGGGAGCCCAGCAGCTGTGGATTGATGCAGAAAACCATCAATACACTTTCTGGAAGAAGGACAGCTGAATCTCAAGAGAACAGAGCTGGAACTAAACCAAGCACCTCACCCAGCCCCACACATTAAATACCACCTTACCCTTCCTCTCCCCAGATTCCCCAGCTTTCCTACACTGTCAGCAGCCATTTAGAGGTAGATGCATTGGCACTGGCAGCAAGGAACAACCTGTTCAAATCCCTGTTGAATATAGTTCATTGTATTGTTCAAAGAACATAAGACAGGTAGAGCCTTCCCCCCCAACCCTGTTTAACCTGCTGTCCTCTCCCTGCCTGCCTGCAGCATTCTCCGATGCTTTCAACTTCTTCCCCAAAGACCTGGATGGCAATATTAACCTTCAGAACCTGGAGGTGCTTGCTAAGCAGCTGGGAATTAGCTTTGATGGGCAAGAGGCACACAAGAAGCTGGTGTGTGCAGATGCTGATGGTGAGTGCGTCAGAACACTCATGGATTGTACTGTGCATGTAAAGTGGTCCCTCTCCCTGTGCCTTGCCATTCCTGGGCATTGCTGTACTGAAATGTACTTTAAGGCAGAGGCTGTGCTGGAGTTGTTGTGCTTTAGCACTCAGTAGTGACTCTATCCTTCATGAATGTGTGTTGCACTGCTGTTACAGACTCCCTCATGCATGCTCCACAGCCCAGTTACATGTGAAAGCTTTAAAACCTTTTAGTCCTGCCCTTAGTTTTTAGTAAGCAAGTCATTCTGCAGTGCCAGCTCTGAGCTGCTCACCCTAACTTTTCATTCTGGCAAAAATCTGCTTTGCTAACATAGATGCCACTTGTTTGCAGGAGACAAAGCAATGAATTTCTCTGACTTTCTGACCTTCATTACTGACAAGAATTGTTTTATCCAGACAATATGTAAGTAAGAAATACCCTACCTAGGTACATGTTGCTGCTCTCCAGCAAAACTCTCACTTATCCAGAGATACCTGAATTACCTCATTCTAATTGATACTGAGCAAGAAATCAGCACTGTGACCAGCATTACGGCTAATGAAAAGCCACAAGAACTCATCCTCCCTGCTGGACATCCAACCAGCACTTAGCAGAAAATGGGGATGGATCCCCACTGAGCAGATCTTGCTGGGGTCTGCTGGGGTCTCCGCTCCCCCTGAAGGTAAGGCAAGGCTCAGCTGTGGCTCTGACTGCTCTCCTCCTCTCCAGTCCCTGACAAAAACGACTCAGGCAACTTCGATCATGTCGATGCCAGAGGAATCCTCCTCCTCAAAGTCTTGCTGAAGCTGGTGGAGTTGGAAGCTCTGCCCCAGAGAACTCTATTTCAGATTTCCAGGTGAGCTTCCTTAGCGTTGTAAGTCAGAGAAGGAAGTTCTCCCTTTCGTTGTGATATTTACATGCTATCTAATCAGATAAACAGATAACAGGGGCCCAAGACTACATTTCCTGAACTGTTCCATGTCTAGTTGGATATCCAAAAGCACCTGCATAGCTTTGGTACCTACCTTACAAAGGTGGTGTTGTAAATACCATTTAAATATCTTTCCACGTATGTCAGTGTGCAGCATCCCATGCTGAGCAGGCCTTGGGCTGTACTTCACTGGTCAACGGTGCCCTCTTTTGTCTTCTAGTTACTACCAGCAGAAGTTTAGGGACTGCACTAGTGAGAAAGCCTGGACACATGCTGATTTCTTCGTGAGTCACAAAAAGAACAACAAAAACAGGAAAGTTCTGGTTTATCCTTTGTCTTCCTTTCTAAGTGCTGCCCGCATCTCACTGAAGAAGGAAAGAGAGGCAAGAGCTTATTTGGAGCAACTCAGAGGTAAGGCTTGCATGCTGTCATTCAGCCCTATTCAGTTCTATATTAGCAAAAGTTTCATAGAATCATTAAGGTTGGAAAAGACCTCTAAGATCACCAAGTCCAGCTGTCAATTCATCCCCACTATGCCCACTAACCATGTCCCTCAGTGTCACATCTGCACGGTTCTTGAACACCTCCAGGCGTTACATATTGTTGTTACCTAGGAGAGGAAGCAGACCCCCACCTCACTGCATCCCTCTTTCTGGTAGTTGCAAACTGATAAGGCCCTCTCCTGAGCTTCTCTTCTCCAGGCTCAACAATCCCAGTTCCCTCAGCTGCTCCCCATAAGATTTGTGCTCACGCACCTCACAGCTCCGCTGCCCTTCTCTGCACACACTCCAGGGCCTCAATGTCTTTCTTGTAGTGAGGGGCCCAGAACTGAACACAGCAGTGAGATGTGGCCTCACCAGAGCTGATTACAGAAGAACAATCATCTCCTGCTCTGCTGGCTGTGCTATTACTGATACAAGCCAGTATGCTGTTGGCCTTGGCCACCAAGACACACTGCTGGCTCGTGTGCAGCCAGCTGTGAACTAATGCCTCAAAATCTTTCCTCACAGCTTTACAGCCACTGAGCCCCAAGCCTATAGTACTGCATGGGGTTGTCATGACCAAAGTGCAGGACCTGGCACTTGGTCTCTGAAGCTCATCCCAGTGGCCTCAGCCCAGAAATCCAGCCTGCCCACATCCCTCTGCAGGGCCTTCCTACCCTCAACACTTCCAATTGGATGTTATCTGAAAGCTTACTGAGGGTGCACTCAATCCCCTCATCTGGATCGTCAATAAATTTATTAATAGGGCTGGCACCAAGACTCTATGTTTCCTAAAGCCTAGGCAGTAATTTCTAAGAGGATCACAGAAGACAGCTGGAGCAAACCTTAGGAGTCCATCCATCCAGTAAGACTCACAGGGAAAGATGCAAAGTCAAACGTTTGGTGTTCTGCTCTAGAGTCTCCTAGGGAGAAAGGAATTGTCCCCCAGAGGCATTTCTGGTGGTTGACTAGATTCATGTTTCAGAAGTGTGAGGAATCTGGGACCTACCTAGCCCTTCCCTGGTCAGAGGAGCAAAACCAAGGGGCATCTGGCTGTGGCTACACTGTCAGTGACTCTTGTTCTTATTTTCCGTTGCCAGAAAAAGCGTCCAATTCAGAGAGCCCCTATGCTCAGGTACCTGTCTTCCCACTGATTTCTAAACAAGATGCAAAGACACTGGTGAAGCCAAAAAAAGACATGCAAAAGCAGACAAAGCAGAGAAAGAAAGAGCCAGTACCTTCAAAGGAGACCCGCTTCAGCAGTAAGAAAAAACAGGTTCAGAAGGTGAGAGACATGGGCAGTGCTTCAGCTACATGCAATAGTACCAAAGGAAGCCCGAGGAGAAGCCTTAAAACCTGTATTTTATTTGATCAGACTGCAGCCAAGGCTTCTGCTCAGAGCAGCAAGAAGAAATGCTCCCCTGCCATCAACTCAGAGCACCCAAACAAACGACGTCACCCACCAACAGCCAGCAAGGGCAAGGCACAACCACGTGTGAGTGTGAAGTCCAGCCCCGTGCTCTGCGCTCACTCACTTCACATTTCCTCACCCTTCTCTGCTGTGGCATTCAGTTACACCCTGGTAGCAAAGATATGGAAATAGCTAGTAGAAATATGGAATGATACTTGGTAGCAACACTTAGGTAGAGTAGCAAGGAGGCGGGGACTGCAGATAGTATATAACTCAGAGCAGGGTGTTACCTTGGTAATGTGCATAAAGCAGTTACTCCAGAATTGGACCCATGTAACCTATATACTAATAGACTGGCAAACAGTTTAACTAGACATGGGTAATAACAAGCAATTTTGTCCTAAGCACAAGGAAAAATGAAACCAGAGGTATAGCAATAGCTTGGTTTATTATAGTTAATCATCAGTGTGAATTAGTTACAACCTGCCTCCACTGCATTCTGGCATGGCACTGAAGTGCTTTCTAGCCTTGTACGCACATCTGTGCCATATGCCTGCGGTGGGGGCTGAGCTGCATGGTTACTGCATTGGATTCTGCCCTCTAAATTCCTCTCCCCTCCATCAGGAGGCACAGGTGGCCCAACGCTACAGGCGCAACCTGGCTCTCCGCAAGCAGGCCAGCCTGCTCAAGCTGTGGCAGAAGATCAACGGGGCTCAGATCGGACAGCAGACGGGCAGCAAGCGCTTCCACTACACTTTCTCCACGTACTCCTGGTCCTGGAACGCGTGCAGAGAGCTGCTGACAGCCGAGGAGCTGCAGGCACAGGACGGCCGGCATTGCCGCTTCCCGCCAGCCACCAGGCAGCCACCATGGAAGAAGTGGCTGTTTTAGGGCACTGGAGGCTGGTTTGGATCGGACTTGCTGTCACCCTTCCTCCTGGCGTTCAAAATGTGAAATAAAAGCTGGGAAAGGTGGGATTATTGTTGTTATCCTGTCCAGCACAGGGAGCTAGCTGGCCAAGGGAAGGGGCTGCACTGTTCTGCGGCACAGCCTCACAATGAGCACCGGGCATAGGTTGCACACTTCACTTTAAGGACTCTTAGAGAGTCCGGAGGAGGGCTTTAGAGACACGAAAGGGCTGAGCTCCGCGACAGCGACGGAGCCCGAGGGAACGGCACGGAGCTGTCAGGGGAGGGGAGCGGCTGGGGGTGAGGGAGGGCTCAGTCCCAGAGGGCTGTGGGCGCGGCCCCGACCCGCTGGAGCTCAGGGAGTGATGGAACACCGCTCTCAGCCACTGGGTTCGGTAGTCGGACACCGATCCTCGCGGGTGCCTCTCTGTGTAAAATCCGCGATTCTACAGCGCCGAGGGAAACACCTCGGCTCAGCCCTCCCAGCTTCCCGCCGCTGCCGCCCCACGTGACACTCCCTTCCCGCCCAGTCCCCTCTCGGGTCGGACTCGGGGCGGGACTTCCGCTTCCGTCGGCACCCTATCCGTCATGGCGGCGCCCAGCGAGGCGCCGGAGCGGCGGCAGCCCTTCGGGAGGCGCTTCCTCACCGACCCCGCCCGCCTCTTCCAGCATAACGCCTGGTGAGGGCGGTCGCGGCCTCCCCGTCCCCGCGGGGTCCTCTCGTTCGCTTCCCTGCCCGCCCCGTGGTGCCTCTCTGCGTTCCACAGGGCTTGGTGCGCTGTCCGCGGCCTGCGCTCCCCAAATATCGCTCCTTGCCGGCTCCTCTCCTCGGTTTAAGAATTGTTCTTACTTCTCTCTCCGCGCCTAGCGGTCGGGACAGCCGTGGGGGTGGGGCTGTGAGGGGGTGGGAGTGCCCAGAGATGGGTAGCGCTCATCCCTTTGGTCCTGAGCTTGGCTTGGTGGAGGCGGTCAGGATCGAGCAGGCGCCCTCCGTACGTCGGGATTCTCCTCATTGCTGCACTGCTTCGAGGCAATCGTTGCCCCATCCTTGGAGGCGTTCAAGGCCAGGTTGGATGGGGCCCTGGGCAGTCTGGTCTGGTATTAAATGTGGAGGTTGGTGGCCCTGCGTGTGGCTGGGGGTTGGAGATTCATGATCCTTGAGGTCCCTTCCAACCCTGGCCATTCTGCGATTCTGTTCTGTTGCTGTAGCTCTCAAAGGCTTACGACTCTTTAAGATCTGCATGCATGTGCAGCTAACGTATAAACTGAATGAAGATAAATTCACCCATTCACTGCCATGTGATGCTGTGAGGTCATGCCAGGTGTTAGGGTGGAGCAGGTGTTTGCATGGAGTAAGCTGTATTTTTCAGAGATATAGGTGCCCAAATTCTTGAATTTCCTGGGAACTGAAGGTATTTTGCACTTCTAAAGTAAATATATCTACCTCAGGTCTCTGGTTGCTGTGTACTGTTGAAAATTGGCTGTGCTTAAGCTGTAATAAAGTAATGTGTGCATGCATCAGCTTGTCATTCATTTTGGGACTTACTGAGTGTCCTCAATGGTATTTCCCTGCAGAAATTCCTAATAATCAGACACAAAACTTAAGGCTTTGTTTTGCTAATTAACATCAAAAGGCCAGTTCTTTCTGAGGCCAGAGTAGTTCTTGATCCTTGTATTCTGTTTTTCATTCACTTATTTTAAAGAAAAAAAAAAAAAGTCAGGTGAATCATCTTAATGACTGCACAACTTGGTATGCACGTTTAAGTTATTAATAGGTTCTTAATGCTTATTTTTTGTGTAATTGGATTTAATATAATCACCTTCCAAATAACCCTAGCTGCTCTTTTCTTTTAACCTGAAAATAAGAGTGTAATTTTTGAAGATGGTTAAATGAAATGCACATTTTGCTGACCTGCTTGAGTAAAAGTAGTTGCCTGCATGGGATCAGTGTTTTGTTCTCCATATGGGAAAGGCAGCTCCTCTCCAAAGAGGCCTATTTGTGCTGAGTGGTTTTGCTGTAAGGATTTAGTTCTCCTAAACTTAGCTGACCATCAAACAGGTTAAATGGTTAGAAAACAGATTTGGTGTCTCTTAGGATCCCTTCCTGTTTTGCCTTTTCAATGCTGCAAGTGCAGCTCGTTCAGAACTGGCAGCTGTCCTCCCGTCTGGTAACTGTTACACTGCTGGAGTTGGAGATGGCAGAAAAGCCCCACAGCTGTCCATTTGGAGAGCTATCAAAACTCTTCTTCTCTGTCCTTGCCTCACAACTCCCAGCTGAGAAGTTCGCTTTAATTTTTACAACAGGGATAATGTGGAATGGTCAGAAGAGCAGGAAGCCACTGCCAGGAGTAAAGTTCAAGAGAACAGCTCACAGCTATTGCCACAAGATAAACAAGGTACTTTTAGATGTTACTGTGATGTGTACGTCTTGACTTGTGTGCACAGCAGCAGAAGAGTCTGGTCAGAGTTATGTTTGCATCTTCATTTATTCATCTTTTCCTCCACTGTCTTCAGAATACATTATCTAGCACCTAGCAGGGGAAGAATGACAGAGGAGGAATCTTTCTGCCCTAAGTTTACCTTTGTGTGACTGTTCCACCTTCTGTCGAGGATCGTTCCACAGGAGTAAAGTGACTCCTTTGGTTGAGAGGAGTCATCTTGGCTTGAGATTCTTTGTTTATGTTGTGTACACTGAAGCACTTGTTACTGTTTCCTGTCAACAAACTTCTTTCAATACAGAGCAACAGCTTCAGTTAGTGTTTCACTGTTCAAAGCTTAACATACAACAGTTAATCTTTTGTTTGTTTGCATGCTGCAAGCACTTGCTCTTTTAAGAGGATCTACTAAAGTAGTATTGGTATACAGCTCTACCAAGTTCACAAACAGCACGGTAATGATTAATTATGAAGTGAAGGAAAATGATTTTATCCTGATTGGAGTGTTAATCGTCAGAAGTTACTTGGTAGTGAAGTTACTTGCTTGAAGCAGTTGTGGGGTTGGTTAATTTTGCATCTTTCTTCCATGCAGGTTAGATACATCAGGTCCTTCAGATGATGGTGAAATGATATCCTGATCTTCAGTATGAAAAGATGCTTGTTTAATGATAATCTTGTTATATTCTGCTGAGCTCTGGGATGGATCCACTCCTTTTGTTCACATTAAATTGACTGTGCCATCTGTAAGGCGATGCTGAACACTACTGGAGCTGTTCAGACACTTCCCATATAGCTTCCAGTTGTGTTCACAATAGCAAACTTAATTATACCAAGGAGCAGTCCTCCTCATTTCTTGGATTCCCAGAAGTATCCAGCTGTTTCTATTGTGATAACCATTGTGTTGAGTTCATTTTAAAATCTGGTTAACATTAAAGGGTGCTTTCTGTCATGCTTTGAGAACATATATACAAATATGAAATTGTGGAGAAATTTGATGTTAGAGCAGTTTGTCAGGTCTTTATGATGTATTTCCCAGGCTGAACAATGGGGGCCAGTCAAATTTTGATGGCTGCTATTCAGTAGGAAGCATGTGGAGACAATGGGAAGGCTGAAACATAGGGAAGTCAACTCAGCCAAACGTGCCTGAGGGGTCTGGTATTTTGAGAATCAGAAATGTCCAAGCAGGAGAACAAAGGTGGGCTATTGGTCATTATGGCTGCATTATTCTTTGGACGACTTGAGCTGTCAGAATTTATTCTGAAGGAGAGAAGTTCTGCGTGCTCTATAGAAGGTGTATCTGCTGTCTGGGAGCAGGGAAAGAAGAGGAAGCGTTGCTTGGTTTTCTTTTGAAGCTCCATAATTAGCCTCCGTGCGAATCAGAGAATCTGTAATTCTCTTCCTGACTTTTGAAAACAGTTTATTTTGTTTACAAGTCTTCTGCAATGTAAAAGGGTGAGTATGGGCTTGACTTTGGGGCCGTCCTTACACAACTGTGCAGAAAGGTCAGAAGTCCTTATCGAGTCTCTGGAGGAATCAGACTCGCATGCCAGTGTCCTTATGAGCTAATACTACAAAAAGGATCTTGAAGCAAATACGTTGCAAACTGTTCTGGTGTGAGTTGTGCAGGAATTCAGACTGAAATGTTAATATGGTCATTTTTAATCCTGTTTCTTGCATAATCAGCTGGACCTTGAGTTCTTGTATTTATTTTGCTACCGATCCTCAATTCCAGTGCTTTGCAAATGAACTTCAAATAAAGCTTCCACACATGTTAGGTGGAAGATAGCAGCTCTTCAATAGCATCCAACAGAATTTCACAATAATTTAACATAGGATGAGGAAAAAATCTGGGTAATCTGAAGTGACTGGCTTGGAATATTGCCACAGTTTCTGAGGTAAACATCCTGTTTTCATCAGAGCCTGTCACGGCATCTTCAGGGATCAGCAGGAGTCAGGACTTCATCTCTTTGTTAGCTGAAGGGGTTTCCAACCCCAGCAGCCTCGTGTATCCCTGCCTTGTGTATCCCTTCTCCCAAAGGAAGAAGTGACAGTTCAGGAGGGAGTGCACCAGAGACTGAATCAATAACCCTCATTCCTCTGTCATTAGTCCTCTGTCATTGACTGCCTTCTCTGCAAACAATAATCAGACCTGACCCCACTTACTTTGAGGTACAGTGAGATCATGACACAAACTTATGCTTTAGTCTACAGTTTTGTTCAGCTTGTTGTTTAAGGACAAGGCTGCTTAAAAGGAGAAAATGCTCATAGTCAAGGTGAAGAGATTATTTTTATAAATAGCTCTTTGTACTGCAGGGATAATTATATAGATGACTCTAATTTCGTTAGATCATGGCTTCATAAGTGTTCTGATTGTCTGTAATATTTATCTTGCTCCTGGATTGTATTTAGTAGGTGTGAAAATAATACTGCTCGCTGTTTGAAGTTAATTCTTACCCATTTTGGTCTATCCACCTTGGGTCTGTGCTGTTACTTTAGTGGAAGTGGTCACTTATTTGATTCCTCTCATTTGCTGTAATTTCACATGATGCTCTAACCTGCACAGAACCATGGTGGAAAAAAAAAGTGCTGCAGACTGGACTCCAAGAGTATTTGTTCAAAACATGATGT